CTTTCCTCTCAATGCTATATAACCTTTACCATCTTTACCTGCCAGTCTGGCCTGAAGACAAAGCACATGAAGATGGGTCCCAGTTCAGTGCCACTCCCAGGGAACTTAGAGAAAGTCCTACCCCACTCTCTGTGGAAGCACAGCAAATATCTGTCTGAGTGCTTTGGGGACAAAAGTGGAAGGCAACTGATTTTAATTGAGTCCTTACAATGTGCAAGGCACATGACATACATTGAAACTATTATCTCCTTTCACAGATAAGGAAACTGGTGCCAAAGCTAATAAGAAATGTGCCTGTCTGCTTGACTTCGAAATGCTTCAGATTGAGAAACACATGTAGAGAAAGCACAGACACAAGTCAGGAGATCTGCAGTGTGCCAAGAACACTAGCCTAAGGAGCCAAGCACTGGACTGGGTTCTCTCACTCCAGACTCATCCCTCCCCTTCCTCAGGGGCTAGGACCTTCTGTTTCTCTCCACATCACCTTTGGCAGTCTAAAGAAATTCATTAGGGTTTGCCACCGACATTAGATTGGATGTGTGAACATTAACAACATGGTGGAATGGGCCTGGACTTTGTTGGCACTGGCTTCTGTCTTCTGCCCTCCTCTCCTTTCCAACAGAGTCCTGATGAGTTTGGCTGAGCTAGGCATCCATAGCCCTTGGGCTCTTTGGGCAAGCAATGTGTCCCCTTAGAGCTGTGGGCAAAGAAACAGAGCCTATGGGTAATGTGCTTTGGCTGTGGAAGCTTTTTTTTTTGGTGGGATTGGAGTTTGAATTCAGGGCTTCACACTTGCAAAGCAGTGCCATACTCCAGTCCATCTTTCTCTGGTTATTTTGGAGATGGGGTCTCAAGAAATATTTGCCCAGGCTGGCCTCAAACCAGGATTATAGTGTGTGCCACGGGCACCTGGTGAGGTGGAACTTTTAAGAGTTGGGGTCTAAGGGAGATAATTAGGTCAAAGGGGCACCAACCATGAAAGGGATTAATGCTGGTCTTGAAGAGTGGGTTGGGTCCTGCAGGAGTGGACTAGTTCTGTGAGCCTGGCCACTTCCTGCTCTCATGCTTCCTTGCTTGTACATGTACTCCCCCTCTACATAGATGCTTCTTTCCACTTCTCTGCCATGTGTAACACAGCCAGAGGTGAGGAGCTGGCTAGAGGCTGTATAATGCTGTTTGGATTTCCTAGTTGCCAGAATTATGAGTAAATAAACTTTTATACATTATGTAATGTCAGATATTTTGTTATGGTAACACAAACTGAACTAAGACCTTAAGGCTGGGGACAGAGGCCTAAAAGGCATGTGTTATCAAAGTCACCTAGCAGGGCTGGGAACAAGACAGAGCACTTGCCTGGCATAAGCAAGACTCTTCTCAAGTCTTGAGAAGACTTTCAGTCTCTAGTACCACAAATGTATCTATGTCATATATATACACACACACACACACACATATGTTGTCATATACATGGATATCTCTCTTTTGTTTATATATATATATATATCAAAAAAAGAAAAGAGAAAGTCAACTAGCACCAAGGTCTTCATTTACTCATACTGTGTTCCCTTGAAATACCGCTATCATTACTCAAAGCTGCCATTAATTGGGTATGTTATTATGTGTTGGGGACTTTCTCACTTAATACTTCTTAGTTCTATTTTCCAGATGGGCAATCTGAGGCTAGAGAGGCTAAGAATCATGACCAGATTTGTGTAGTTGGTGAGCATGGAGGTGAGATTTCCACTCCAAATTTCAACTTAAACTTTTCTAATTCTAGATCCAAGTTCCTTTTTAGCAATCTCTGAGAAGAAAGGGTTGCAATTCAAGAATATGAGAGCTAAATATTTTCAAAGTAATCAGAAAATATGTAAGAAATAAATTTGTACATTAGCACTTCTTGTAAAGGGAAGATTATAATAATTTGATTCATGTGTGATAGTTTTCTTTCTTTTTTGCCAATTATAATGAGTATAGATGAAATAGCTATTATGTATATCATTAATATGAGTAAATACAGATTTTGGGGAATTTTGTGTGATTACAACATTAAACTTTGATCATACTTTTTCAATCTGATTACATAGGCTCTCATCCTAACCTAAAATAAGTGCAAAAGGACTTTTATTCCATTAACTTTAGGAAAGAGTTTACCCTTGAGTTTTCTGGTGGCTGTGTCAACTTGAAAAGTGTCCTCAAAAATGATTCCGTTAATGTAAGCATGATGGCTCACCTTATAATCCCAGCACCAGGAAGGCAGAAGAAAGAAGAGCACGAATTTGAGGCCAGCCTGGGCTACACAGTGCGACGCCATCTCAAAACAAAACAAAACAAAACCCAAAAAATCGCCAGTTACTAACATTTGCAATGTGGCTTTTGTCTCTGGCTTCCTTCCCAAAGATATTCTCCTTACTGATGAACCTCCCCATGTTCTGCTCTCTAACAGAACATAAACACCTGGTGTTCCCTATCAATGAATGCTCTCCTGAGAAATTCTCCATCAAGGAGCAGAGCTAGGGAGATCCTGAAGGCTCTCCTCCTGTTTGATTTTTAACAGATACTCCCTTGTTTTTCTGTTAAATCAGTCACCACTTCTGGGGTCCCCACCAGCCAAGAACTGATGAAGAAATATTTAACAAAAGAGAGCTTTCTGGACTGGTGGAGTGGCTCAAGTGGTAGAGTGACTGCCTAACAAGTGCAAGGCCCTCATTTCAACCCTCAGTACTGCAAAAAAAAAAAAAAAAAAAAAGGGCTTTTAAAGATTCCCCTAAGTCCATGGGAACTCCCAGGTGATCCCTTCATAGGTCTGAGGGACAATGGCTCTGTGTGTGTGTGTGTGTGTGTGTGTGTGTGAATGAGAGAAGAGATAAACTGGCTTCAGGTAGAGGCAAATCTGCTTGTATATTGGAAACCAGGGAAGGTTGGGTTGTAATGAAAATGTTTGATAGCTACAAAGAAATTGAAAGTCACTGTTCATGGTCTCCCCGATCCATGCTTTTATTTTCTGGAGTTTCAGTTACCTGTCGTCAACTGAGGTCCAAATATTAAATGGAAAAATTGCAAAAATAATTAATTCATAAGTTTTAAAGTGCCCGCAGTTCTGAGTAGTGAGATGAAATCTCGTTTGGTCCTTTTCTGTCCTGCCCAGGTACGAAATATCCCTTTGTTCAGTGTATCCACCCTCTATACACTTCTTACCCATTAGTCAGTTAGTGACTGTCTCAGTTATCAGATTGACGGCCACAGTATTGCATTGTTTGTGTTCAAGTAACCCTTACTTTATTTAACCATGGCCCTAAAATGCAAGAGCAGTGATGCTGGCAATTTTATTACAGTACATTGTTAGATTTTATCATTAGTTACCATGTCTAATTTATAAATTAAATTTTGTCATAAGAATGTATGTGTAGGAATTTCAGGCATCCACTAAGTCTTGGGTAATGGGAGGACTACTATATATAGAATTAAAGCCCCTCCAAGAAGTTTGGGAGAGAATTGTTTCCTCAACTATAAAACAAGGGTAATATTTTAATCAGCATTACAGTGAGAAATACTTATAAATTAATCTTACAGGGCCAAGTGTGGTAGCATACACCTACAATCTCAGTTACTCTGGAGATGGAGAGGAGGACTGTAGTTCAAGGTCAGCCTGGGCAAAACTGCAAGACTCTAGTTGAAAAAGAAACTAAAGACAAATACGGACTGGGGATGTGGCTCAAGTGATAGAGTACCTGCTTAGTAAGTACAAGGTCCTGAGTTCAAACTCCAGTACTACAAAAAAAAAAAAAATCTTGCCAAGTGAGGAACACAACCCTGGAAATACTTGGGGCTGGCAGTTCCACCTGACTGCGTGCTCTTGGATGCCCGAAGCTGAGCTTGGTCAGGATGACAGAGGACTCTGCTGTCAGACTCGGTCAGGCTCCCACCAAAGTACAAAGTGCACAAGAGCAAGAAGCTGGTAGATCAGAAACAATCACCATCAAATACTCCTTTTTTGCTTTAAAAACCAACTCCCTGCCCTGTTTTCTAGCAATGTTTTCTGAAAACTTTTTTTGCTTATTGGATAATTGCCCTTTTAGACACACTGTATGTATAAAAAAAAAAAATCAGATAATACAACTACCTGTACTTCTCACTAACTATTGTTAAAGTGTGATTTTTATGCAAAGTATGAATATTTGCATCTTATCTCATTTTCTAAACTTTACGTTTTTGCAAAGCAGGATCTAGTTTCATTTCTTTCTCTACCCCTGTCTGAGAGTACCTGACCTGGTATCTCGTTTATGGAGTAAATACTCCATGAGTATTTTTGAATGAATATAGTTCCTTGTCCCATGACCTGGAAGTTGGTCCACTGAAAACGAAAACAGACATACATAGATTTTAAATTGCTTTTAATCCAAATGGGTTTTAATTTTGCTTTGTATTCTTTCCTTTCTGTTTAGGACAACCAAATAAAACCCCAAATAGGTGTCTCAGAAGAGCAGCTTTCTTGGCATGGAGAGAAGTGTAAGAACAAATAGCCTCAACGAAGTCAACTTCTCTTTGTCCTGATCATAGGAGACTTGTGGAAACTAAGTTGCAAACTACTATGACAAACAGGCTAGCATGGTTCCAGTGAGTTCTCAAGGTGTGTGGAACTCCTCAGTCACCCAGGCTTCCCCATTCTGCGCCAGGGGTCTTCAACTAATATAAAACCCCAGCAGCCAGGAAGTTGCCTGGTGGCTGAGGTGGACCCTTCCAGGTTTTTATTTCCAGCTCATTCTTGCTTTGTAAAAGCATACATGATGCTTGTGACAATGATGACAGCAGTAAAACCCCTTGAGCATCATGCGGCAGCACTGGGCTCAGCCCCTTTCTGCACACTGCCTCACTTAGACTTCACAAGTGCCTTATGACGTAGCACTATTATGATTTCCTTTAATACACAATCACCACACATCCAGCAAGGTGAAGTCCCTTGACCAAGGACTCAGGGCTTCTACTGCCAACGTGGGACTTACCTGGGTAGTACAGAGTTAGGTGGCCTGGATTTTGCAGGAGATGTGACTTTCGGCTCTGGCCCTGAGCTCCCTGAAGATCCTGGCAGAGAGTCCTGCACCAGCCCGGCTTGGTTTGGGAGGGTTTCCCTTGTGGAAGTCAGGAGGTGTTCTTTAACTTCTTTTTCCCGGGACTTGGCTTTGTGTTCTGCCAGGAGGAGGTCAAATTGCTTTTTCCGGCCTGGGACTGCCCTCCGATGGCTTAGCGAGTGTGTCTAAGGAGAAGAGAGGTGAGAAGCACAGCCTCTTTGATCAGCACATAAACCTGCTTCCCCAGGCCCTGCATTTCAGAAATAGCAATCGTGGGAATTTAGAGGTGCTTGAAAAGTCAACTTCAAGGCAACAGCTCCTGTTCTGTGGCTGGGAAGAGGCAGAGACCACTGGAACGCAACCATGCCCTACACTCCTGGTGTGAGGAAGCCAAAGCTTCCTCCAGACAGATGGCATGAGGTGAAGAGCTTCCACGCAGAACCCATGAAAACCTCTCTGATGAAAGGCAACCGGAGGGAAGGCTCCAGTTAATCCAAGTGCAGGTGGGAGGCTCCAGTCGGCCCAGACAAACAGAGCCACCAGGCAGAGAGAGCCATAGCCTCCGTACTGACCCTAAGAAGCACCAGCAGCTCAGGAGGAAATGTAGAGCTTTGGGCTACCCAATGGCGACCGCCTTGGGTCCGCTGTCCCCTGGCCACCCGTGTGGCTGGACCAGGGGCACGGCATCTCATCCTCCCCTCCAGGGCTGCCTTTCAGGGCGCTGTCACCGCTGCTGCTGCTCCTGCATACATTAAAACGTAGCAGGCTTTAGAACCGCCTGTGAGTGCCTATAAATACAATTTACTGTCTGGCCTCCCAAGTAACAGGGGAAGCCTAGTTTTTTTTTTTTTTTTCTCCTTAAAAAGCCAGCCAGCTTGAGGCAGGCACTCTGCTAGCATGGACGAGAAGAAAGCATTTCCCTTACAAAGAACAGCTGGAGGTCATGTCGAGGTTCCTCACCCTGCGGTGTGCAGAGAGTGGCACGCAGACATTTCGACAAAGGCCCCAGCGAGAGCAGGAAGTATTTTTTATGGAAAGAGAAATACCTTGCAGGTGAGGGATCTTGTGCAAGGTTTCTTTGTCTCGGGATCCAATACTCCACAGTGTTTATTTGGGTCAAATTCTCTCTCTGGTTTAAGAAACAAACAAAAAATATAAGAAAAAAGGAGACTAAATAGGATTTGGCATTAAGACTACATTTTTTAAAAAAATGCACATTTGCACCAACAAGTGAGACATTGTCAGGCAACCTATTTTTTTTTTTTTTTTCCAAACCGGCTGCTAAAATGCTTCAAGAACCTCTCAGGGGAAAATGGTGCTCCCCTCTGAACCCAGACTTCCCAAGTCTAGCACAGGGTTCGCAGAATAGTGTGGGAGTAGACACCAAAAGGAAAGGAGCTGTGCTGCTTTCATCACTTTATTTTACTTGAAATGGTCTCACAGGTCCTTGGCAGTTTGGGCACAGTGGCTGCACATCAAGGACAGCCACCTAAGACCCAGGGGCCCTTCTTCCCAGACTGCTCCAAGAGCACATATCCCCACCCCCACCCCTGCTTTCCTGCTAGTTCAGTCATTTAAGTGAGAGAATGTTCCTTGCCATGTCAGCCTGACCTGCCTCTCTCATGCTTTGAAAAGCCCTCAGCGCAGGTTGTGCACACAGCCTCGTGGACCAGCAAAATCATTTACCGGATTCAGGAATAGTCTGGCAGTGCCACAGGCAGGGGCAGGAAAGTCTTGTGCATTTGTGTGACTGAATCTGAAAGCGCACAGAGAACAGGGTCTGCTAATATCACAGCTTGCTCTGTCCCCAGCTGTGGTCCTGAACTCTGTGGAGGAATAATACAGGAGACACTGGCTGGAGGAGGTTGGCTATGTGCGTGGGGCGGGGTGGGAGGGTGGGAGCAGGGTGCCCCCATCCTGTCTTCCAGCTAAACTGTTGAAGACTCATTGTGGAGGTTACTTCTTTTTATGCGTATTGTGGATCCCTCACTCCTTTGGGGCTAACAAAAATGCTCCCCATGTATGGAAAATGTGGGAATGAGGCCTTCTTTTAAGGACCTGTGAGGTTTTAGGATGGTTTGTGCCGTCTCTGGAATGTACACAACAAATACCTGTTTCCTGCAGTGCAGGAATACACAGCTCTCTGGGCACGTGGGGAGACTGGTAGCTGCTGTTGGCAGGGGGGTCTACAGAAACTTGGAGCATCCTTAAGGACCTCAAATGGCTGCTAACTCAAGAGAGACTCTTTAAGCTGACAACTGCCTGCAATTGGTGGTCTAAATGTGGAGCATAATAAATAAATATTGTACTTTCAGAGAAGATGTGGGGGTCAAGAAGAGGCTGCAACAGTGGCTATCATGTATGTGTAAGGAAACCATTATAATACCCACAGTTATCAAAATGTCTCCCTCCCTTTTTTCATGCTTTTGGCTTCCTTTATTTTTACACTTCATTTTTCAGAAAAGAAAACTGCTAGGCCTGGAGATGCTCGTTTCCTTGGAGCCCTCTGCCCAGCAGGCATTGAGTATCTGGGTGCCAGGTCCCAGGCTGCCTGCTGTGGCGGTCTTTCCCTCGAGTCTGTCAGTCAGGCCTGTGCCCAGACCCATGCCAGCACCTCATGTTGGCTTGGAATGGAGCAGGATTTTGGCTGGGGGTAAGAGCTGCCTGCCAAACGTGAGAGTGAGGTAGAAATAAGCAAAAAGATCCAATGAGACAAGATAACCCACAAAACGCAAAAAAACAAACCACAAAAAGTCCCCAAGCAGCTTCAGATTGGGGCACATGCTTCTGCTGCAACAAGAGACCCATGGCCTCTGGATACTGTGCCAATTTTTTTTTTTAACCAGGGACACTGCCACCACCTCTACACTTTCTCTTTGGGATGAGAGCTAGGAGTTGGGGGCTCAGCCCGCAAAGTGAGGGCCACAATGCTCACAGACAGCACCAGGCACCACCTTTCTCTTGACACAGTGGATGAATAGGACACGGAGAGACGTGCTGGGCAAAGGACCTGTTTTATTTGATGCCTTGGGCCTGAGATACTTTTAAGACATAATTTTTAGAGTTATAGATGAATTTTTTTTTTTTTTTTTTTTAGTGACACTGGGGTTTGAACTCAGGGCCTCACACTTGCAATGCAAGTGCTTTTACCACTTGAGTCAATCTGCCAGCCCTAGAGTTACAGATGTAAGATAGAAAATTCAGAAATACAGGTAAACATGAAGTCAAAAATGAAAATTACCCACACCTCCTTGGGTGCTTAAAAATCATGCTCACACCAGAAGACAGTTTCTCTCTCAAGGGTAGCTTTCACTGTGTTTTGTTTTTTCTGGCCACCATTAGATAAAGTCCATGGTGTGTGGACAAGTAATGAAGTTTAAAGCTTTTCCTGGTCATTTAGAGAGTGCTGAACTGACAGATTTAGTTCTATAACAGATAAAAAGCAAACATATCCACATGGGGCCCTACAAGGGCAACCCTCACCTACAGAGTAAACCACATGTCTGCTCAGACAACCAAGGAATAGACCTAAGAGACCCCCTCAACACTCGATTTGCTGTACCAGCCTGAGTGCTCCCCATTGGGAATTTCAGCTTGGTTATGGGGAAAAGGCAGTTATAGCCCCAATTGCAGAATCAACCTGGATACCTGTGAGGCAAAGGATAGAATTGCTGGTAGGGCTGTCCCAGCATGCCTTGAGCCATTCACTGTGAGACATCCTTGTAGACTCTCCAACTTCACAGCAGCAACTCTATGACAGCCAGGGGAGAGTCAACCTATCAGCATGATATGGTTACACAGAGCCACCTGCTAAGAAGAGCCTCACAGTCCACAGACTGCTGGTTCATGCAGAGCATCCTGCTTCCTGGGCCACTAGGGTAAATTCACGCTAAACACTTCACCAAGCCAGGGAAATTATTTGCCCCAGGAATTAGAGAACCAGTTCTCCCTGGCCCTTTTAATTTGGTGTCCTGTTTGCAGATAAACTCCATGTCCCCCTTAAAATGAAACAGAGCTGCTTAGTTATATGAACACATGTACATCTTGGTTCCAGATGGGACTCAATTTTACTCTTATCATGAGCCACACTCTAATGACACTGACACATACCTGAAAGTCTCCGATAGGGCTTGCTGCTGTTTTTGGTGCCATTTTGATGTTTCTTGTCTATGGTGGCTGACAGAATCCCTTTGCCATTTAAGATCTTCTCAGGTGAAGGTGGCACTGACTTGGACATCAGGACGGGCTTAATTAAAGGTGGGGTGGAGACAGCGGAAGAGGAGGAGGAGAAGGTGACTGCAGTAGTAGCTGTAGAGTTCATTTTGACATTGGCACCACCTGCCTTCACTAGGTTAGGAATTTTCTCTAAACTGACTACAGGAACGGGAACGCTGAAAAATAAAGGAACAAACACACACAATTGCCTTCTTTGATACATCTGGTCTACAGAGGAGTTATGCTCACTTATCATTATCAGAATACTTCCTCATCACTTATTTATACTCCTCCTATACTTGAGCAGCACGATTCTAGTTCTGATGGAGAGGAGATTTGTGCTGTGGAGAAGACCCACAGGGGGTACGAGGCTGGCACGGTGCCCAGGGATGGATCAGAGCTGAGTGATTACCTCCCGTGAGGAATTGTCTCCATGGATCCTGTGAGTCCTCCCTTCTCAAGCCCTATGTGTGGGTTGTTTTTGACATAGCACCTTGGATAGAACAAGGACCCCACTGTGAAGCCCAGGAAGAGATGCTGTCTGTTGCTCACAGATAGAGCGCCACCACTGAATCAGGCCCCCGCCTCCCTCCCAGCTTGCTAGTCTCCCAGCCCAGCCCGGGCTTGACATCTGCTTAGCTCCAGAGTGCTGACAGGATCACACCACACGGAGGCATGGCTTCAGGCCAGCGTGCCACACTCCATGCTGTCAGAGGGCTTCTGGATCACTCTCATATCATGGGGATGGGCTCAAATTGAGTGAGCCGCCATGTACTATTATCTGATATTCCATTTTAGGCAGCTAGTTATGTAAATAGGCAATTCTCCAGGCTGGCAGGTGAGAGGATGAATTTTAAGAAGGCAAGAGCACAAAGGTGTGCATTCACTCTTCAGAATCTGTCACTCTCACCCCACTTTCCTGCTATTTCTCCTGTGATGGATGTGTATTTGATTTCTGTGGCTCTTTAATGCTGGAGGACCCTGTGTCTAGGGGGCTGTGGAGGACTCTGTCTCGGAGTCTTGAAAGACGACATGAATAAGCTTTGCTTTGGTCCCTGAACCAGATTCGCTTTCCTCCTGGCAGGAGGGTAAAATGCTAACACTTCGGCTCCCCAATCATCTTTGAGCTGCGAGTGGAGCCGACTTAGCTATTTGAATGCCAAATGATGGAGAATATGTCTCTTACATGTCTGCAGACAATGTAGGGCATGAAAGAGAGGCTGGTTTTGGCAGGGGAGGAATTCTATCTACCCACACGGCTGGCTGGCTTTCCCTTCTCTAAGATTTGTTCACAGATCATTTCTTTGATCAACCCGGTCATAAAATTATTTTAGCAGTCCCTCAGCCCCTACCCCCTTTTGACTTTGAAACAGGATCACAGATGTTAGTTACAGATCTTTGCCAGTGAAAAGGGCACATAGTGGCAGAACAGATTGTGGCTGGACATTACAGACTTTCCCTTTGGACCCTGTCCTTCTTGGCCTGGGGGAAAGGGTGGTGTGGGACTTCAAGTCATGTGAGGGGAAACTGGAATGGTGCTTTTGGTCAGTGCCTTAGTCACTGAGCTAGGGATGACCTGCTGCTACTGCCTGCTTAGTAGCAATTCTCTAAGCATCGCCACTTGCTAAAGAGCAGTATCAGAAACCCTGAGTGAGATGCTGAGATGCTATACAGACGCTCCTTGGTAGAATCAGCATGGGCAATGATTTCAACATGTCCCTCAACATTCATGTGCTGGAAACTTAACCCTTAAACTCATATGCTACTGGTATTCGGAGGTGGGGTCTTTGAGAAATAATTAAGGTGAGATGAAGTCATGACGGTAAGGCAGCATGATGGGATTTGTGGCTTTACAGTAAGCTGGAGGGAGACTTACGGTGGGATGAGTCTCAGCCTCACCATGGGATGCCCTCTGCCATGTTGTCACACAGCATGAAGACTCTCACCAGATGCTAGAATCTTGGTCTTGGATTTCTTAGCTTTCAGACTGTGTAAAATAGATACCTTTTCTTTATAAATCACCAGTCTGTGGTTTTTTGTTACAGCATCAGAAAACAGACCAAGGCAGTACAGTATTCCCAATTCTTTACAAAATGATAAAAAGTGCAAAGCTCTATGATATTGTAAAATAGAAGTCTTCTGGCCTCATTTCTTTACTCAATTTAAAAAAGCACAAGTTAAGCCAGGTACTAGTGGCTCATGCTTGTAATCCTAGCTACTTGGGAAGCTGAGATCTGGAGTATCACAGTTTTAGGCCAGCCTGGGCAAATAGTTCACAAAATCCCATTTCAACCAATAGCTGGGTACAGTGATATGCAGTTGTCATACAAACCTATGTGTGAGGCTGAGATGGGGAGGACTGTGGGGGCTAGCCTGGCCAAAAAGACTTTTGAGACCCCATCTCAAAAGGCTGGGTGTGGTGGCATGTGCCTGTCATCCCAGCTACCAGGGGAGGCTTAAATAAGGGGACTGCAGTCCAGACACCCTAGCATAAACTGAAACCCTATGTCCAAAATAATCAGAGCAAAAGGGCTGGAGGCACATGGCTCAAGGGGTAGAGTGCCTGCCTAGTAAGTGCAAAGCTCTGAATTCAATCCCTAGTACCACACACACACACACACACACACACACACACACACAGCACAAGTTAAATGAATTAGGGTCTCAAAGAGATATTTGTATATCCCTGTTCACAGCAGCATTATTTGCAATAGCCAGAGGGTGGAAGGAACCAAGTGTCCATCAGTGCATGATGGATAAACAAAATGTACAATTTAGCCTTAAAAGGAAAGAAGATGATGACACATGGATGAATCTTGAGGACAGTATATTAAGTAAAATAAGCCAATGACAAAACACAAATATTGTATGATTCCACTTGTATGAGGTACATACAAGAGTCAGATTCATAGAGACAGAAAACAGAAAGGTGGTAGCCAGGGGCTGGGGGGAGAAGAGAATGTGTATAGAATTTCAGTTTTGTAAGATAAAAGGAATTCTGTACTTAACACTACCAAACTATACATTAACATTGGGTAAAACAGTAAATTTTATGTCATATGTATGATCAAAATTAAAATATTTTAAATGTGCAAACAAAAACTTCACAAGTTACAAAACTCAATACAACCTAAATAATACCTCAAAAAATCTGAATATATATATATATATTCATATATATATATATATTCATATATATCACACACACCACGTTAATTCAGGAAAATATATGAGGACCTTCAAATTCCAGTGAGTACACATAAGCCTCCAGTTTCTGTAAAAAAAATACCGACTGTATGTTGAGTCCTCATGACCTCAGCAGATAAAGTACAAATTGCCCCTCTAAAAGCTTATAGTGCAGTCTGCATTTCTCCTTCAAAGTCACTGTCCAGTGCCAAATGCACTCTGTAAGGCAGCCATATGAGCACAGGAGGACTAGGTCCAGACATCAGGACCAGTGGGCTCATCTCTTGGGTGATGCTTCTTCCCAACTGTGTGTAACTGAGCTTGAGCCAGGCCAGCTAAAGCCTGTGACTGATTGCTTAATGTGGATTTTCCCCACTACTTAACAAGAATGGCCCATTCATTTTCTGCACTGCCAATGCTTCTAGAACTCCAGCCGAACTTCAGTGCCAGTGCCCACAGGCAGGATGTAGAATTTTAGACCATCGGAGACAGGAAAGAAATGCTGATGTGTATCCCTCTGGGACTGGAGAATGGGAAGTGTTAGGGAAAGGCTCTGATCAGGAACGTTTCAAAGGATTCTAAACACCACATGAGTAAGAAAGGAGCTGGCCACTGAGTAATCACCCTGATGCCAAGTGAGCAGGCTGCATGTTGGCAGAAGAAAGAGGAGAAGATACAGAGTTCTTTTGGGTGGGAACTCTAAGGGTGCTCACTATCTAATGGAGAAAAGCTATGGACCTCTCTATGGAGGACAGCCTGGGAGCTGTCCCTGGTACTGTTTTCTCTGGTGTACCTCCTTTCCTCAAAAGCCTTAATGCTTCTCCTCTAAGGTGACCTACCTTTGACCTGGGTTGAAAAGGGGAGGTAAAAGAAGATGGAAAAGAGAAACAGGCCACTCCATGATAGCGGGAAGGGTCAAACATATCCCCAGAGGGAAAAGAGAAGGTAAAATCATCTCTACTTGACCTTCTCATCCTCACTCTCCAGTATAAATTCTAGCCATTAGCCCATCTGAAAAGTTAGTCTACTTTCTTCACTACTACTGACAACAGTCACAAGATCCTAAACTGATTTATAAAGGAGGAAATGATTGCAAGATAGTGCCATGCAGTATGGAAAACCAGTCTCAGAGATTCAATCTTTTTTAAGGAAAGTGATCAGCTGATATAAGAACGTAATGAGAGCCCCCCAAGTCTGCTTTACTTACATGCAGCTCCTGCATGTGACCATTGGAAGCCACCACCTTGGAATTGCCTTCTGCTTGCTCCCATTGTCTCATTTCTCAATCCCCTTACTTCCTCTATCATCAGTTCCCCAATCAGCTAAGTGTACCAGTCTGGAGCAGGTAAGAGCTCCTTCCAGATGGCAGTAGACCCTGAATGACAGGTTTACTTTTTTTTCCATTTGGAAAGAAGTCAAAGATTCTGACCCTGCTTTCACGTATGGGCATCTCCCATCTTTTCTGCCTCTCATCACAGCAACCCAAACACCTCTGTGTGTAGTGAAGAGGTGGGTGGAAGGGGGTGGTTAGTTGGCAAAACCAGAAGACTGACTAAGCAATGTATTATTCTTAGTTTATGTAAGTGATAAACAAGCCTGGTGGTTATCCCCAGGTTAGCGAAACCCACCTGCCTCAAATTCCTTCCCCATAAGTTTTGAGGGATGCATTTACATACTTCCCCAAGTTTCACGATTTATTAACTCACTATTGTCCTTTCTTTGTGGTGCAGGGTTTAAAAAAGAAACATGAGTCCCCACTCTGCCCTTGTTGCTTTCATAATTCCTGCTTTTTTGGTTTGGCATGCATGAACTCTTTCAGGGAGCCTAGGACTGCAGCTTCATTCCAGCTGAGTGTAAGACACTGGGTGAGCTTTTCTCCTTATCAGTGCACCTCTGTCTCAGCCCCAGTGTCAAGAATGGTTCTCCCTCATTCCCTTTCGCCATGGGGAAGTGTCAGCTTTCTGTTTCTTTTGTGCTGCTATGGCTGCCC